GAATAATTGTGTACGCCGAAAACACGGCGAATATGGCAAACCGCAGACGACGCACAGTGGAGCGTGATTTGAGGGTTGTCGCGTGAGCATTAACGACAAACTACAACAGCGCAATGTCTCAAAATACTTTTTCCAGAATAGGCTGGTATCAGGCGAGCTGCACTCACACTTTTTTGCTGTTGCTTACGGTTCGATGACTCTAGTTTAAGGAAGCTACACATTAACAAGCACCAGCTTTAACACATCTTTCTCAGAAATTTTGTAACTGCCAGTGGGTATAGGAGGCCAAAAATGCACTTGATCGTAACGAATGTAAAATTTGAATTCAGAGAAATGGTGTAGAATTCGTCGTTGGGGCGGTTTTCGCCGCACGGAACAGCTCACGAAGAAGAGAAGAATGTGTAATCTTCATTTTGCTTGTCTCGAAACACCTCGCTAGGCTACCGTAGACTGCATAATTAAGCGTACTTTCTACAATAAGGACTACTACTACTAGGCAGTTCGACGCGTGGAACAGGCTGGTTGCAGTCTCAGTAAAGTTGTTTCGTGCAAAGCAAGGAGACAGTGGTTTTACACAATGTCTTCGGGAACACTGGCCACAGCTTTTGAGGGATTACTTAACGTGTCACTGGGCAAACATATTTTTTGTAGATTTTGTTTTTACCACTCTCCATTCAATGGAACGGTGCTGTTTGCAGTATATAACTTACCCACTTGCAGGGCCACCCCGCTTTTGAGGGAATTCTAAGTCTCACAACACTGATCCCCAGTCTGTCCGAGGTACTTTTTGGCAATGCAATCTGGGAAGAAAAAGTGAAAAAGAATGGCTCGTTCAAGTGAATTTTCATGCGACAGAGGTAAGGTGGGAAAGAATGATTGCCGAAGGGCACCTTGACAAGTCGTCGCCTTGGTCAGCTCATGAGCAGACAGCCAAATGCTTGAAAAAATTGAAACTTTTTGCCCAAAGGGTCAGAAATGAGTCAGACTATGCCTTTTACGTAGTGTCCATAAAATAGAGAGAGAGAGAGAGGAAAAGAGAGAGAGGAGAAAAGAGAGAGAGGAAAAGAGAGAGAGAGAAATGTTTGGTGAAAGGCACGAAGATTGACCAAAAGAAAAATTTCTGGTTTGTTGCCCTTCTCTATAGAAGAAAAAATTGAATAAAAGGGTAAGGAAGGAAAGAGAAAGAATGAATGGTTAAAAGAAGAAAGAATAGCGCACACACTCAAGCGCAACAGTGTCATAGTCATTTTGAGAGCCCGGTTTACCACGAACGTCTCAACTGCTGTCTCCTTCTAACAGGTAACAAAACACTGTTACGCAAGGGTGAGGCAACATCAGCACTATGATAGTTGGCGGCGCACCCTAACGCTGTGCTGACGTGAGAGCGTCACCACATCACTGCTACCTCTTACAGTTGACAGCGTTTATGACTGGGTACCTGGAGCTATTAGCTGCCATGTAGCAAAACTCATGCCTCCGCTGACGAGCTACGCATACATACATATCGTGGCAATCGCAGCACCACAGCGCAACGACTCACTGATTAGTCGTTTGTGCAATTAGGCATCCTATAGCTATGAACATCATTCGGTACTACGTTGAATAGTAGAAAAGTATCTAACAAGAGGCGAAAGAAGCAGCGTATAGTGTTCGCACCTGCCACAGATGCGAAGGGAGCATGGTATAGCGTAATGCAGGTCCACTGAGGTTAAAAGTATCAAATGTTGGTTTCTATTCAATCAGCCTAACCTTATCTGCATTAATATGACAGTGACGTATCAATTGATTGGTTGATTGATTGATTGATTGATTGATTGATTGATTGATTGATTGATATGTAGGGTTTAAACATCCCAAAACCACCATATGATTATGAGAGACGCCGTAGTGGAGGCCTCCAAAAATTTCGACCACCGGGGGTTCCTCAACGTGCGCACAAATCTGAGCACACGGGCCAACAACATTTCCGCCTCCATAGGAAATGCAGCCGCCGCTACCGGGATTCGAACCCGCGACTCGCGGGTCAGCAGCCAAGTACCTTAGCCATTAGACCACCGCGGCGGGGCAGTTACGCGTCAATAGACCCGTGAATTTTTTAAAATATTTCGTTCCTTGAATAATTCTATCTGGCATGATCAAGATGTCAAGAAGCCAGTCTCTACAAACAATCTTTTACCTGAAATAAGTTCTTTTTTAGTGAAGGGTACCGTATAGTGATCATTTAAGATCTTTTATTCTGTAAAACGTTAGTTCCTACCTTCTTACGAAAATTCAATACTCTGTGTTCAGTAAATCTTAACAAAATAAACATAAGTACAAAAACCGAAAAATGAAAATATATCGTTGGTTGATTGATTGATATGAGGGGTTTAACGTCCCTAAACCACCATATGATTATGAGAGACGCCGTAGTGGAGGGCTCCGGAAATTCCGACCACCTGGGGTTCTTTAACGTGTACCCAAATCTGAGCACACGGGCCTACAACACTTCCGCCTCCATCGGAAAATGAAAATATATCGTGAAGTAATTTTGAGCTCTAATGCAAGCTACGTCTGCCTTTAAAAATTTCTTGCGAATTTGAAAGCCGTGGCCTTCGCTACCTCTGCCGTAAAGCCAAATTACGAGACTCCTTCTCAAAATCTCAACTTCAACTTAGAAATCTGAGCTTAGGGCGCATGTAACTCAGGGGCAGTCAAGGCAGGTGCTCCAGCGGCCTACATCCGCTCAAACGTGAATATGGCACAGGTTAAATAAAAAAGAGTATTTATTCGGTGAAAGAGCTGCATGTATAAATAAAAAATATGTACACAAGGCAGTATAGAACATTTTGCAATACAAGATGTAAAATAGCTTCCCCCTTCCCCCTTTTAGGTGAAGAAGTTAAAGTTAGAGCTGCATGTAACTTCAGGTGTCGCCGAGGCAGGTGCACCAGGGCCACTCAAACATAACTATAACACATGTAAAATCAAAGATAGTATTAGTTGGTGAAAAGGCTATATATAAGAATAAATAGGTGCACACAATAACATAGAACCCTTTCTAAATGTGTAAATTACCTACTGTGGTGGTCTAGTGGCTGAGGCACTCGGCTGCTGACCTGCATGTCATGGTATCGAATCCCAGCCATAGTGGTTGCATTTTTGATCGAGGCGAAAATGCTGTAGGCCCGTGAGCATAAATATAGGTGCACGTTAAAGGACCCCAGGTGGCCGAAATTTCCTGAGCCCTCCACTACACGGCGTCTCTTATAATCATATGGCTGTGTCGGGACGTTAAATACACACAATTATTATTCCAGTGTGTAAAACAGTGAGCAACAAGTACATAATTTGTAAGCGAAGACATTTAAGAATATAGTTTTGTTCCTGATGTATTAAAAGCGCGGATATTCTTGAACAACGGGTGTCACCAGGCTGTGCGATGACGCACGTCTTGCTAACGGTAACAGAAACGATAACAGCTGCATCTGCTTTTCGGTGGCGTAAACTATTGCGAAGAGAGCATATTGTTAGCACCAGGAACGTAAGGAAGTATTATAAAATCGTGGCACGTGAAGGCACGCAAGCAAGCATATTTCTTTATAATCATTTTTTTTTGTTTAGCAGGCGTGAATAGTAAGCCGAAAAACATTCATATTTCACAGATGTGAAGTCAGCAAATGTAAAATCAGATGATCTGCAAACCGATATACAACTTTCTAATCGTAATTTCTAATCAGATTTATTGCATAAAAAGTGAGTTAGACATATTAATTGGACAATTTTGTGAAAAAAGTGTGACATAATCATCTTAATCACCTCAGCAGCTTCAGTAGGACAAAGAACTGTCCCGTGTTTGGCCAATTAACGCCGACCTGTGATTGTTATTGACACGTTATACCTGCAAATTTGCTCTCATGTGTACAACGAACTTTCTGCCTACACCTCGTGCGCTGGCTTTCTCATGGAATACAGCAATTGCCCCTAATGATCAGCGGTTATACCCTGCCTAGGCGCTACGTACCCTGCTCATCTCCATTAACTCTTCTTGATTTCGTTTTGAATAACATGTCCTTAAGAGCGGTTTGTTTTCTGACCCATTGTGCTTTCCTGCTGTCTTTGAAGGTTAGACCTATCATTTCGTTTCCATTTGTCGCTGCGTTGTGCTGCTTTTAAGCATAATCTCTGCGTAAGCATCCAGGTTTTTGCTCCTTCAGTAAAGAGTGGCAAGACGCGGAGTGCATGGTGGGACTAACTCCATGGAGTGGTTAGCAACATGCCTTTCGTCGCGTCGTCATAGGGTGATTCAGTATAATTTTAAACACTGCCCAGAGATACCTGTGGCACCTTGTAAATAGTTTTATTCTGTAATCCTTTATATTAGGCTGTATTGAGCCAGTTCTGCCCTTGAATAAATCTATTTGGCACTTAAAATTTTCGTTCAAGCCAATCCTTCAGATGAAGAAGTTACAACGTGTCGAGAACTGTAAGTAGTCGTACGACACTAAACTTCGCTAGATGTCTAAAGAAAAATGGAGTACAATACTTGCACTTTGCTTGTATTCGTCCTATCCTGTTAAATAATCAGTGACCGCTGCCGCTGTACACTCAATGAATTAGATACAGCTGCAAATACTTCCAGCCAGTAATACTTGCCGGTGATTTAGCTGCACGTCCCGTAGAAATTACAGACTTAGCATCCAAAAACGCGACCACAGAAAAACAAGGACAGAATATGTGTGCTGCTAGTCTGCGCACGCCACTTGTCTATGTGTTGCATTTCCAGATAAGAATACAATCAATTTATGTCAGCATAAAGCGTACGTGAAGTACTGCAACGTGAAGAGCACAAAAACAGAAGATCGGTGTATATCTTGTTCATTTTTTTGCCTCCGTCAAGGGGCACACCTTCAGCTGTACGGTACAATGGCCTATCATCAACTAGCTCATCTTTCAAACCATGTTGAACTTCGTTTGGCATGAAGGTTTGATGCAAAAGTGGGCTGAGAGTCTAAGAGACGCTTGTAGAAAGGCTTCTGAAAACACTCCCCGGTTACGCCTCACTGGTCGACGAATGATTTTTGTGGAATCCGTTGACGACCGTTGGTATCCAGGCTAGCGTTCATGAAGGTTCAAGATGGCGCCGATAAACGTCTGATTTCCAAGGACAGCCGAGGGAAGAGAGGAACACTTAGTGCTAGCCTGCAGATATAAGACCAGCAGATTAAGGCGATGCCGGTTTGAAAACAACTTCAACTGCAAATGACATTGATTTGCTAGTAAACACACCGGCACGTTGACCAACGTGCCTGTTGGATGCAGTGTTGTAACTGTGAGGGGCCCAATCTGATGACGTCGTTCATGTTATCATATTGTCAGTGCTCGCGTATAAGCAAATGGTTGTGTAATACAACAGAAATATGATCACTCTTATGCTTTGTGCATCTGCTAAATTTTTACAGCGTGTGAGCTAAACTATGTTGTCTTCTTGGCTAACGACGTTATTTTTGTACACAGGGCATCCTCAAGTGTAAGGCCCAAGGAACGTCCTCATCCTCTCCTTTAGTACAGTACCAAGTATTCAAAATTGTTAACCAGTTTTCCTAAACACATGATGAAAAATCAGCAACAATAGAAAGAAAATTTGCGGCATAGTTTGTTGAACAAGTTCACTTCGTTTTTGAAACTGATACACATAATGGCGGGTAATGCAGTGAACTAAACCAGTAATATTGGTTCTCACGCAAGCGTTTAATTTCACGTAAACACTTGCGCTATCTGAATTCTAACAAAATTTGGTGGTTCAAGGAGCCGCGTGCCTGTATAACAATGTTATATTGGCTTACAAGCTACTGATAATCAATACGCTATTCGTTTGACCAAATTTTCTTATGCGGTCATGGCCGAGTACAATCGTACAGCTTCCGCCTTGGGCACCGTGCTGAAACTAACATTGATGTCTTCAACAAGAAGAAAGTGATAGCCTAAAATTACGAAAATTCTTTCAACATAGTATGCCCCTGCAGCCAATAGTTCGAAGGGTTGCCTTGTCGAAACGTTACCTTCAGTGACAATTGCCACTCATAAATAACAAATTCGCACACAAGTCGTGTGTGATAGAGCCGACATGTCGAGAAATGGACTTGTCATTTTCAATTCTGTCACAAAAGAAGTCTAAAAATAAACAAGTCTACCTGTCGAAACATCGGTTCCAGTACACAACCCCGCACACAATGAATTTCCCACCACAAGCTGCCATTCTTTCTCGTTTTTTTATTTTTACCCCTTTACATGATTTATGACGGACTTAAATTAGTGTTTCAAACCATATAATGATCTTATTCTCCGTTGGGCGTTTCAAAAGATAAATTTTGCCAATGAGCGTCGAAACAGTGGTCCTGCCTAAATCGATAACATTTTTTTCAATTCAGCTGCCCTCCCCCCCCCCCGCTTCCTTGTGCTAGTGTTCTGACTATTTACCAATGCACACTAATGCGCTGAAATGTACATGCAAGCCCAAAAGGAAAATAATACCGCGCATAGAATTTTTCCAGTAAGAATTGCGCACAGAAAGTTAGAAAACAACATCTACGTAGAAATACATTTGGGAGAAGCTGCAGTCTGGTTGCTTGACGGCTATCCGCTTATTCTTCGATATCCTAGACACCTTACTGTACGCTTTTGGCTCAACATGCGATGGTTGTCTCATCATGTCAATTAGCCAAGGACGGTAACTGAGGTTAATTTTCTCAAACAAGAAAAACGTCTATACAATCAAGCACATATTCATGCTCACTGCAAGAGCTAACGCAATTATTAATATGTATATGGCTGCTTGTTACAATAAAATAGTAACTCGCACTACAGAAAACACTCTGACCTTTTTGACTGCAGATTAGATAAGGCCCATCACAAAGGACTCATGCTTAGTTGTGACAAAACATGGCATTGATCAGCATAGAGCATTTTTGACACCACTGGTAACTCGTTCAATGCCATTCAAGGTGGCTGGCGTTGTACACCATTGAAGTGCTCTGGCTTCAGTCATGTCAGCGTATGCTTACGGAATCAATAGCAAGTGCCACAGCAATGCTCTACGAAGTACCCCACTGGGAATTGTTTTGTCTCAACAGATGTGAAAAGAATGCAAATTGATAAAGGAAAAAAAAGGAAATCACCAGGGCTGGCGTAAACCAAAACAACCAGGTAAATACACAAAAAATGACTTCGTCCGGCCACATGTTGTCGCCATTGCTTCAATTGAAACGCATTGTCATTAATTCATTCTGTTTTTATTCAAGACAGTTTTACAAATTGTCTTGAGAGACATGGTAACTTGATGAGCCCATGTCAACTATGGAGCAACCTCAAAAAGCTTAGCGTAGCCGCATTTGACAGCCCGTCTTGTGATGATTACCAGCGTAAACTACCCGTCACATTAAAAATTACCGGGCATTACATTCGGACAATCTGTCATAAACTGACTCATCAACTGACATCTCAACTCATCATAACCTGACTTATGGGTCATGCAGACTTCAATACCACAAAGTAATCCCGACACAAACGAACGCTACTAGAACTTCGCCGGCTTATTGGGATCACCACCTGTGGTTCTCTGGCCACCCCACACTGCTCCGGCCGACCTGCTGGCCACACACACGCAGGAAGTGGTCAGTTCCAGCGTCTTGTAGGTCAACTCGGACGATGCCCCTCGGTACGCAACGCGAAAGGTGCTCTTCACCTCTTGACAGCGGTAGTCACCCTTGTCACTACACAGACTGTCCGGGCAGTTGCACTTGGTCACTGGTAGCTCCGAAGGGATCCTAGAAGGGTCCACGTCCGCGGACACCTTGAACGGACAAGACGCACGGTCGGCAACGTCAGTCGCCTGAGGTGAGGGCGTGCAAGACCCCACAGCGGACGCACCCCGCAGTGCTGTCAGGCCTACCAACAGGGCGACGACTGTTGCAAATTCTCCGATGGACATTCTTGAGCAGATGAAGTCGCAGTTTACAGGCAGAGTCGCTACAAGGTTTTGTTTCCAGTTAGACTAGTTATCTGGGATTTCTAGAAAAGCAGAGAGAAGTCACAACTATCTTTCCGATTCAGCCGCTTGACGGGTTCTCGGCAATCACCACAAACTGTCAGGACGTTTGGATTGTTACTAACACCAACGCTATCACAACGCAAAAGCACACTCGGCCAGAGTCAAAACAAGCCTTTGTTTGCTGGTAAACGAAAGCAACAGCGTGTCCTTGAGGGCCACAAGGACGTCACAGCAACCTTCAAAACTGAGCAGCTTCACGGATTTCTCCGCTATCACCGTAAAGCGTTACTACGAGGAGTTTGCCACTAACATCACCAATATCACAAAACAGACGCCCTCCTAGCCCAGAGTTATCACAAGTCTTTGTTTCCAGGGACGCGAAAGTGCACAATGAGTCCTGGAACACCCGAGAAAAGCCACAGCTATGCTTGTGACTCAGCTGCTCCACATACTTCTCAGAAGTCACCTCAAACCACAGAGCACGAACCCCCCAATACGTTGGGCTTACCACTGGCACCCCTCAGTACGTTAGATTTATCACTGACACCAGCAATATCACGTCACAGAAGCACACCCGTACAGAAAGGTGCGACGCACGGTACTGCCGACTGGTCGTTGGTGCACCCCGATGTTTTCGCAGCACGGATTACACGTTTTTCACTCGCTCACATATCGCAACGGCGACCAAGAGAGCGGCAACGTTACATTCGCCCGACCTTGAAGGCGCCGCTTACTTGACCGGTCGGCAGTGGGAGAAGAGAAAAAGCGCGAACAACAACAGCCGTCTCTGCTTTGACGGCGGAGGTACAGTCGACGGTGAGTGAGCCACCGTTGAGCAACGCGACGTGCTTTGCACAGATGTTGCCCTGCCACGCGCACAACTGGTTTCCGTTGGCTTTGCGTGCGTGTGTGTGTGCGCATCTGTGCGCCCGTGTGAGCTTGTGTATGCATGGTATGTGTGCATGTTTGTGCGAGTGTGTGTGCGTTGTGTGTGGGTGTGTATGGCGTACGTATGTACATGTTGTGTGTGCGTGTGTGTGCTTCTCTTTCGCTCGCCGATCTACAGCAGACGCTGAAAAGGTTAACACTGGATATAGAGGTCTACGAGCGTCAGCCGGATGCGGTTAATTTATGGGTCACACGAGCTGTCAGAAAACCCCTTCTAAACTGTCACACTAGTTCTCAGAAACAACCAGTCGCAGGGTTGCGGTGTTTGTGCAAGTAAATTCGTGCTACATTTAGAAGCTTGTCACAGGATAGCCTCCGGTCAAAGCGTGGCATCAAAATTGTTTTTGTTGTTCAACTTGACCTGGTCAGAATAAACCCGCAGATGAGGAAATCGCCCTTGGTGTATATATAAACCCAAAATGAAGGGGGAATAACTCGCGCATTTTTTCAATCAAACCGCTCTTGTGGTTGCCGTGGCCACGTCATCAAAAACTTCTTAATCGCTTATGTCTTTTTAACCTTTTGTCTTCCCCCCTCCCCGCGCTTTGTTACTCTTAAGCGTATTACTCTTGTTTTGTGTGTTGCTTCTGCGTGTGTTACTGTTAATGACTATCGGTTACCATGCCTTCACGCTTCATGCCCTGCCCGTGTCCACTTTTTATTCTTGTTGATTTTTGGCTGAGATGCCATTACCACGGGTCTGTTTCCGCACTCAATCCGCTCTCCTGTCCCTCAAAGTGACCATGCAAACAAACTTTTAGCATGGTCACAAAACACTGCCTATGGTTGATTGATTGATTTGTGGGGTTTAACATCCCAAAACCACCATTTGATTATGAGAGACGCCGTAGTGGAGGGCTCCGGAAATTTTGACCACCTGGGGTTCTTTAACGTGCACCCAAATATGAGTACACGGACCTACAACATTTCCGCCTCCATCGGAAATGCAGCCGCCGCAGCCGGGAATCGAACCCGCGACCTGCGGGTCAGCAGCCGAGTACCTTAGCCACTAGACCACCGTGGCGGGGCACTGCCTATGGTAGTGGGGCCTCCTGAGAACACGCGAGTTAGAACATTATAACGCGAAACGCGGCCGGGCATTTAGAATGATTTCTTACAGTAAGCGAAGAAAGTATTTCTCTCTTATCTGGACAACTAATGCCACATAACGAAATTCACGGCAATTAGCTGGTTTGAGCATCGTGGCATGGCTTCTGTGATTGCGCACTGGCAAGTCCAACGGCTAGCCGTCTCGGAGGCCATGATCATGGCTACATTAAGTTTCTAAGGCAGCCACGGGAAACCGCCACGTGTCCACGTGTGGGCTTGCGATCACACCGAATATAAACCACTCATTCCAAAAAATAAGTCAAGTCAAGTCAATATCCTTGACTATGTGGCGCATACCCACGCGGGGGGATTGGCCAAGAACCGGATAGTTATCATGAATTTCTTATATTAATAACAGATTAAAATTAATCCATTTACGAGTCATAAAAGAAAGATGCAACAAGACAAATTCGATGGTTGAATTGTATTATTTACAAGAAATAAAATGTGCTAAAGACGCACGCGTGACGTTGATTTATTCCCCCGTGCACTTTCGTCCTTGCTTAGCTGCCGCGTGCTGACCGGGACGAGAAAAAAAAAAAGAGAAAGCGAATACAGCGGGTGAAAAATCTAATAATCAACTCGCTCTTGACGGATTCTAAAACCTTTTTTTTTCGATGGTACATTTGTGAGGCACTTATCTCGTGTAGTGAAGGCATCCGATGGTTCCATCAAAAAGTTTGAGAAAGTATTTGCAGCGCCACTTTAAAATTACAATATCATTTTTATTTGCATAGCCCATTGCGTTTCCCTCAATTTAAGTTGACCCATTCTCGCAATTCCGCATATATATTTTTGCATGAACAATATAAAATGATATCAATAACTTTAGAATACCTTCTACCTGTGTTCCGTCTCATTCTTATTTTATTAATTACTTCAGTATCATGGTTGAAATCTGCAACAGGTATACCTGCCCGTAGCAAACGTATTCCATTACAACTTCCAATGCCTCATTATCTCTCGCAAAGTGCTGTTCACTCCCGAGACTGCTGAAATTTAATTTTATGCAAATGAATTTTCAGACCGACTATTCTGCGTTTCTTGTTCGATTCCGTGATTAAGAGTAGCGAATTGTCCCCTGAGTTATTCATCAATGCAATTTAATCAACGATTGACAAGTTACTGTGGTACTGTCTGTTAACTCTCATACCCAATTGTATCCTGTTTGAAAATTTTCTGTAAGCAAGTATTGAGTAGAATTGGAGATATTTTATCACTTGACCTTTGCGCTGATTGGGAGCACACCATGAGAAACATTGAGCACATTATAGCACAAATATTTCTATTGCTTTTTTTCTGTTTTGTTTTAGACGATTCTCAAGGTTTAAAGTACGTTGCTTACAACTCGTTTTCTGGTGTTCGTCAAGTCACCATCTAGAAGGTTTAAAATTTTTTCTAAACTTTTTGTTACCATCACCTACAGCATGCAGACCACGAGGGATAGCATACAGACCATGAGAAATATTGAGAATGTTTATGAAATTGAATTGCATCTGAAAGTCTTTATTACACGTATGTGTGCGTTTTTTTCAGCCTCCATTCTGGGACAAAGTTACGGGGACGTAATATTTTCTCTACAATGAAAAAAACTAACATTGATTTCCATCCATTACACTATTATGCGTCACTTCATGAGCAGCCTATTTATAAAAATAACACCGCCAAAGCTCGGCAATTCAGACTTTGCTGATTCTAATTTACAAATAATTTGCACTGATGCTCTGGTCCCACTACATCACTGTGTATTCCTATGAGAAAGATTACCAATTACTTGAGTGCCTTAGCGTCCCTATCCATAACAGTTATTCGAAATTTATCCTCTGGCTTTAATCATTCATTAAAAAACAACACTCAGTCCTTTGTGATTAAAGTGTATTGCAAAATCAAGTCAAACTAAATTTACTAGAGATGCGAAGCATCATATTCTCCTAGTAGGTAAGCATTCGGGCACTGCTGCGGCGCTCTTGGGCATGATGTAAATAATGCTCATGGAGTCGCGAGAGCAGAAACGCATCCAATTGCAAATTGCTGATTGTTTTTATTTTCACTGCGTTAACTAGGTCATTTTTGCACGTATCTTGAAGCATAAATAACATCATATATCCCAGCATTGAGGCTTACGTTTCGCTGGAGCACATGCAGGTACTTCTTTCTGGCCTATTACTAGCTAATCAGTAAGTTTTTTTTTCACTTTTAGAGCTCCGTGAACCTAATTTATGGAATTCCCAACCACATACATGTAGAAGCGGCTGATTCGCAATTGCTAGAAAAGAGGTGGCTTCTTTCGACCCTTGCTGCGCAGCGTGGTGTCATTTTTGTTCATTTAGTTGGCCGCCCACAAATTGAAACTCCCCTTCATTCAAACAATTTTAAAGTCCCCTTCAAGTTGCAAATAACGAATTTTTTCTGTACGACTAGTACTACTACATCAACAAAAACGACTACTACCACTACTACTGCTAATAATAATAATAATAATAATAATAATAATAATAATGTAGTGAATAAGAAAGACGTTGACACCATCAGGCCAGCTATCATCAGCACAAGAAAAAGGCTCGAGATCGGTGATCGAGCACCGTCTTCTGGGTTCGCCTGCCTTCCTTTAGAGCTACCACCTGCTTGCTGAGTCCTTCAATAAACCCCCTTTACATTTGGTGGATCGTGCTGGGTAACTGCATCACTTACACCCTGGAACTCCGATCCCGCACCCTGCCGTCGACCATGCAAGTTGACGCTGCCCAACAGACAGCACCTCTCGCGGCTCCTACTTGCCCCGGCCCGGTTCACCAGCGAGACTCCCCGATCTTTTCCGGCGCCGAAGACCAGGACGTCGAGGACTGGCTATCGTCCTACGAAAAAGTCAGTGGACCAAACAGGTGGGATGACGCTGCTAAGTTGAGCACCGTCAACTTTTACTTGGCTAATGTGGCGAAACTGTGGTACACAAACCACGAATCCGAGTTCGAGAACTGGGCCACTTTCAAGCAGGCCATATCCTCGGTTTTCGGTCGCCCTGCCGTGCGGAAGTTGCGCGCCGAACAACGCCTGCGCTCACGGGCACAAGAACCTGGCGAAACGTTTACCGCCTATATTCAAGATATACTCGATCTCTGCAAGCGCGTCGATGCCGCAATGAGCGAAAGTGCCAAGATCCAGCACATTATGAAAGGTGTTGATGACGACGTCTTTCAAATGCTCCTGGCGAAGTCTCCTGGCACGGTGTCTGAAGTGGTAACTCTGTGCCAGAACTACGACGAATTGCGACGGCAACGAGCTCTCACCCGTCGTCCATTTCAGCCTAACCAACCACTCGCTGCACTGGACGTCGTACCTGACCACTCCCGCCTTCTAGCAATAATGAAAGACTTTGTGCGTGAGGAGGTCGCACGTCAGCTTTCCCTCCTGCCGTTTTGTCAGCGCCAAGAGCCTCCGCAGCAGCAGCAAGAGCAACCACCGACACCGTTAGCTCCCATGCTCCGACATGCACTTCAGGACCAGATTGCCGAGGCTATGCCAGTGCCCTTTCAGCAGCAAGTTGTCGCCGCGCCTCTTACTTATGCTGACGCAGTAAAGAGGCAGCAGCCA